ACGCTGTCGAGTGCGGTCGCCGAGGAGTTAGCCAGCGCGTCGTAGTCGAAGAAGATGTTGCACGGGCAGTCCGCCTCCTCGTTGCTCTGCGTGGTGCCGACCGGGCCGATGTCGGTGCCGCACATCATGGCGCCGTCGCGGGCGAGGCGCGGGTAGAGCTGGAAGCTGTTGGCCGCCTCGGGCACGCAGTACTCCTTGCTGGCGAGGAAGTAGATCTCGCGCACAAAGGCGGGCGTGGCGCACAGCCGGACGTGGTGGTAGTACTCGTTGACCTGCGTGCCCGGCGCGAAGGCGGTGCAGGCACGCTCATACGCCTGCTGCAGCAGCCCCGAGCCGCCGAAGAGCGCTTCTCGCTGCGTCGCGTTGAGGCTGTCCACCCAAAAGCACAAGTCGAGGGCGGCGAGCCAGACGGGGCGGTCCTCGGCGCTCTCGCACGCGCAGCCCCACGCCGGGTCGTACACGGGGAGGCTGAGCGGCCAGGCGGAGCTGGTCTGGAGGGTGTGGAAGAGCGCGTCGGTGTCGTTGAGAAAGGTGGGCGAGCTCGCGAGGCCGCGCTCCAGGTCGTAGTAGGGCGAGCAGACGCAGGCCGGCGGTGGCAGCGGGGGCGGCGAGGGCGGCGGAGGCGAGGGCGGCGGTGCGTTGTGGTGTGCGGGCGGCGAGGGCGGAGGCGGCGAGGGCGGTGGGGACGGCGGCGGCGGGGACGGCGGCGGCGGCGAGGGCGGCGGAGAGGGCGGCGGCGGAGAGGGCGGTGGCGACGGCGGCGGCGGCGACGGCGGGGGAGGGCTCGGCGGCGGGCTTGGCGGAGGCGGCGAGGGCGGCGGCGAGGGCGGCGGCGGGCTCGAAGGCGGCGGCGACGGAGGTGGCGAGGGCGGAGGCGGCGAGGGCGGTGGCGACGGTGGCGGAGGCGAGGGAGGCGGTGGAGAGGGCGGCGGAGTGGGCGGCGGCGGCGAGGGCGGCGGCGAGGGCGGCGGCGGGCTCGGGGGCGGTGGCGGCGAGGGCGGTGGCGACGGTTGGGGCGGCGAGGGAGGCGGTGGCGACGGTGAGGTGGACGGCGGCGGCGGCGAGGGCGAGGCGGACGGCGGCGGCGGCGACGGCGAGGCGGAGGGAGGCGGTGGCGACGGCGAGATCGAGGGAGGCGGCGGCGAGGGCGAGGCGGACGGTGACGGGGGCGACGGTGAGGTGAAGGGAGGCGGCGGCGAGGGCGAGGCGGAGGGAGGCGGCGGCGACGGTGAGGTCGAGGGAGGCGGCGGCGAGGGCGAGGCGGAGGTAGGCGGCGGCGGGGGCGACGCGGACGATGGCGGCGGAGATGGAGAAGGTGGAGGCGGCGATGGCGGTGGCGGCGAGGGCGGCGGGGGCGAGGGCGGGGGTGAGGGCGGCGATGGCGAGGACGGCGGCAGCGAGGGTGGTGGCGGTGAGGGCGGCGGCGGCGAGTGCGGTGGTGGCGACGGCGACAGAGCCTCGCCGCAGGTATGCTCGAGCACTGGACTGAAGTCGAATCCAGATTGATTGTAGGGAAAGCTCGAGAGCCCCTGGAAAGCTTGCAGCTGTGCCACGGTCACCTTCCTGTTCATCTTCGTCTCA